GGAATTCTCTCTGTAGGTCAGGTTGGCTTCAAACTCAGAGATCCCACTGCCTCTGCCTCTCTTGTCTCTGACTTGGCCTCCACCTCCAACCCTGCCTCACAATGCTGAGGTTAAAGGCTTGCACCACTGCTGCCTGGCTACTAAGGAGTATTTATAGCTAACTGTGAGAAGGCTACTTTCAGATAATAGCTGAGTATCCTTTTTTTTTGCTTTTCGAGACAGGGTTTCTCTGTGTAGTCCTCGCTGTGTCCTGGAACTTACTCTGTAGACCAGGCCAGCCTCAGAAATCTGCCTGCCTCTGCCTCCCAAGTGCTGGGATTAAAGGTGTGCGCCACCACCGCCCGGCTTAATTTATTATTATTATGATTATCATTATTGCCATTTTTTTTCAAGACTGGGTTTCATTATGTACCTCTGACTGTCCACTATGTAGACCAAGCTGGTCTTGAAACTCACAGAGATCCATCTGCCTCCGTGAGTGCTGGGTTAAAGATATGTATGACCATACTCAGATTATAATTTTTAAATACAAAATGTCATCCACAGTTGTAGTCTAAAGGGTAGCCCTTAAATATTTCCTCTTAAGGGACTCAGAAAAATCCTCCGGGCATGTAATGACAGTATTAACCCTAAAGAAAACATCTAATGCACAAGTATGTGGACCTATTTCTCCCTCAGTGAAACAGCAGTTACTTTGTTGAGTTTCTTAGATTAGGCAGTATTATTTATTTTTATAGCAACTTCGAATGAGACTCTACACATGATGGCCAGTCCACTTTGTCACACTCACACTCATCTCTTGAGGCAAGGTCTCATTATATAGCCCTTGCTGTCCTGGATCCTCTAACACTTGCAGGGATCCACAAGCCTCTGCTTCCTGAGTGCTGGGGTTAAAAGTCTGTGTCACCACACCCTGTCTCTATTTTGTCGTAATTTTGTATCAGTTTATGACACAATAACTTCCAAATAAGTAAAGGTTTTATTTTTGAATAAGGATAGTATTTGGGGCTGGCAAGATGACTCAGTGCTGGCTTTAGGGCCTGCTGATCTGAATTCCATCCCGGGGACCCACATGTGGGATCCAGGTGGTAGGAGAAGAATCAGATCCTAAGAGTTTTCCACTGATTTCCACAGGCGCTGTGGTGCACACTCAATAAACAAACACAACGTAATCTTTTTAGAGCCAATACTTTTTGGTAAAGTAGCAAATTGAACCTTTTCCTCCTCTGGTAAATCAGCGTTTGGTCTTGGTCTGAATTAATGAGGAAAAATTTGAGTGTTCACGATGCTTTCTTACTATATTTTAAAATTCAATGATTAAAAATCTTCTTATACTTTTAGCAAGTGGCTGGAGCTGTGGCTGACTGGAATCCTCTAGGCTTATTCACCCATCCAAGTTTACTATGGGCAATATGAACTGTATCGTCTCAGTCTCAGTAAAGCAACATTAGACGATTAAAATAGTTCTTTGCTTTGTTTTACCAGAAGAGACAATCAGTTCTTGAAGTGCTAGGGCTGAGCCTGCCAGAAGTACCCATTTACATTTCTGTGTTACAAAGAATGACAGGTCCTTTGCAAAAGTTGGTAGTGATTCCATCAATCATTTCTCACACCTGTTAGGTTGAAATTATTAGCATTATTTTTTAAACCAGAGCTAAAGACCAGAAAGACATGGAAATCGAATCCCCACCTAGGGGCATCTGTTAATGATACTGCACATTGTGTTCCTCATCTTACAAAACATAACTGCAAACCGGATTTCCTAGGATGTGCTGGGTGGGTGACATTTTCCGTGGCAGGGGTTTCACTCGTCCCAGATCTGAATGGATATTAAATAGCTGGGCGAAATGCCAGGTAGCCCTTTACTGTCACATTAAACAGCAGTGAAAAAGGGCGGGGTAACCCGATTCCGTTCCGGCGAGGAACGCGGCGGCCCGGACCAAGGGCACGCTGACGCGCAGGCAGCCCGGAGCCGCGTCCTGGAGACGCCGCCCGCCAGCGAACAGCGCCACCGGCTTCCGCCCTAGGCGCCCCCGGCTCCGCCGGCCTCTGCGGCAGGGCCGCGGAAACCCCGTAGGAACAGGGCGGCCGAGGAGCGCGGCGCGCGGTCGCGCTGCTGCAATATTCTTCCGCCGAAAGCAAAGAGTCCCAGCCCCACTCCTGATTCATGGGTCTCCGGGAACGCTGTAATAACAAGTAATAGTGAAATGTGGATTTCACCATCGACTTCCTTGGCGCTTCACCTCCGGTAACAAACTCCAGGAGTACAATTTTGTGGCTTCCGAAGGAAGATAAGAAAATTCCTCCGCGAGAAACGGGTTCCGGCCGCGAGCCTATAAAAAACGGGCGGCGCCATCCGACTGTCTTTTCAGTCGGGCGCTGAGCGGGTTTTCGGATCATGTCTGGTGGCTCCGCGGATTACAACAGGTACGGCTCTCCTGGGGCGGCCGGTGGCCTGTAGTGAAGGTCACTAGGACCCGCGGTTGAGGTGGGTGGTCGGCGGCCACACTGCAGGTATGCGGGCTGTTTCTTAGGACACATACAGTCTTCTTGTGTCCTTCGAGAAGCTTCCATGATAGTAGGACTCCAGATGTTGGGGAAACAGGACTGATACGAGAACGGAGTATTAAGGATTCCTTTCCTTAGGACACATTGTGACATCTTGGCCGCTGCCCCTCCCCATGCGGGACTTGGCAAGCAGAGCCGTGGCGTAGTCTGCTTTAGGGCACGGTAAACCGGGCCCCGAAGGTTTATTTGCGGCCAGTGGCGCGAGCTGGGATTCTTAGGGTTCTGTCGAGGTGGTAGATTGGACAGCCAGGGCACGATCACCCTGGACCGTAAACGGGGAGACGAGCCGTTGGCATGGTCCTGCCCGGGCCTTTCGGCGTCAATCACGCCGGGCTTGCGCAGAGTTAGGGGCGGAGCTCGGCGCGCGGAGCACTCGCGAGAGCTGCGCTTCCCAAGCGGGAGCGCCTGGACCTAGGGCACTAGAGGGGCGTCTACACTTGGAGTCCAAATGCTCAGCCCTTGAGGAGAATGGTGCTTGCTTACAATGCCACCGGTCTTGAGGCATTTTCAGTAGAGCACACGTGCGTGGAGGGTAATGAGGTACGGGGTGGAAGGGCTTTGTAAGGGTCTGAGGGCTTGGAAGGAGTATGTCTAACTGCAGTGTACTTGTCAGCAGAGAACATGGCGGCCCAGAGGGAATGGACCCCGATGGTGTTATCGAGGTAAGAAGTGGGTGTGGAAGCTAAAGGTTTGGGAAGGCACATTTTTTTCCATCTTACTCATAGTTTTATTATTAACTTACAGAGCAACTGGAATGAAATTGTTGATAACTTTGATGATATGAATTTGAAGGAGTCCCTTCTTCGAGGCATCTATGCTTATGGTTTTGAGAAGCCTTCAGCTATTCAGCAGAGAGCTATTATCCCTTGTATTAAAGGTAAAGCTCCACTGACATTTAGGATAAGTGTTCTGCACATACGTGCACCATAAAAGGGAAAGTAACCTTTTGGGGAAGTACTAGCACCTGTTTGTATTCCTTTAAGTGAAATGATGGCAAATCATCTTTCGGGACTGACCTGAAATGAAGAGAATACTCTCTGCTGATCACTTACGTGGGCATAATTTATGTTCCAACTGGAATACGTGGTGTATAGTAGAATAACGATTTGATGTGGGATCGGTAAATATGTATCCTACTTTTTTTAGGGTATGATGTGATTGCTCAAGCTCAGTCAGGTACTGGCAAGACAGCCACATTTGCTATTTCCATCCTGCAACAGTTGGAGATTGAGTTCAAGGAGACCCAAGCACTAGTATTGGCCCCCACCAGAGAACTGGCTCAACAGGTATTGATAGTGTAGTTCAAAAAACTGCTTGCGTGTTGCATAGGTTTCAGGTTTCACAACTGTGAAAAAATTAAAACGTATAAATTGTCCTAGTCCTATGAGAGCCCCCATTTTAATTGTCCATGCATGCAGGGAGTTTTGAAAGCTAAGTAGGAAATGGGTATTATAGGTATGACTCATAGGCCCCGATTGTTAACTCAGCAGTTGAACCCATAGGTTTCTCAGAGGGTGGATTAGATCTATACCCATTTAAAAGTTTGGAATGCAGTTGTGCAACATGAAAACTGCAGTGACATGTTAAACCTTTGACTGTCTCAGTAGTTTGTGATGCATCTGTTGCATGCTATGTTTTCAAAGCACTGCTCTATTGGCTTTGAAGTAACACTTCCTGATGAAGCTGCAAGCTTTATTCAGGTCAAGATTATAATAAGGCTCACTGCCTTACGGGGAAAGATACCAACGTTTGCCCTTAGAGAAAGAACATTTCACTACACAGTGGAGAATGTAGAAATTTTTTACTTATTTTTCCTAGTTGGTATTGGAGGCAACAGGGTCCCAAGTTTAAAAAGATAAGAGGGAGGAGCATTAAGTAGTTCAGGAGTGAATTTTAAGCTTGAAATTAGTGTAAGTTTTGTGCTGTGCATGCATAAAAGCTATTGGCATATATGATAGTGCAATTATGCCTTTAAGCTTACTCTTAGACCTTGGTTTTGCAGAATGATAACTAAAATTTTTGGCTTTTAGATCCAAAAGGTAATTTTGGCTCTAGGAGATTATATGGGAGCAACTTGTCATGCTTGCATTGGAGGAACAAATGTTCGAAATGAAATGCAGAAGTTGCAGGCTGAAGCCCCTCATATTGTTGTTGGTACTCCAGGAAGAGTGTTTGATATGCTAAACAGACGATACCTTTGTAAGTAGTGACTTTTAAAGGTCCTTTCTTTTATCATCAAAAAGGTTATGAGAACTTTGAGATGCAGTATGACTTTCTTATTAACAGCTCCAAAATGGATCAAAATGTTTGTTTTGGATGAAGCAGATGAAATGTTGAGCCGAGGGTTTAAGGATCAGATCTATGAGATTTTCCAAAAATTAAATACAAGCATTCAGGTAAAGTTTTATTTCTATTCATTTGGGTCTGGTTTCATGCAGGTACAGTTACAATAAAACTGAAGTGTTCTATTGTCGTTCCCCCTGCTTAAAGAAAGCATTTGATACATTACTATCTCTGCCTAGCTCTACCATAGTAAGGCAGAGACGCTTGGTTTCAAACATTTTTCCCTGTAGTATTTGCTAAAAGATTATTTATACAAAACTAAACCTAAAGACAAGCATTTCTTTTTTAAAGGTTGTGTTGCTTTCTGCCACAATGCCAACTGATGTGCTAGAAGTAACCAAGAAATTCATGAGAGATCCAATTCGAATTCTGGTAAAGAAGGAAGAATTGACCCTTGAAGGAATTAAACAGTTTTATATCAATGTTGAGCGAGAGGTAATTTTTTGTCTTAACTATTAAATACAAGTTTTTTTCACCTTCTTGTATAAGCACTGTGCTAAAATTGCAGGAACTAGGATTCTGTCTTGGTTTTTGTAATGATGCTAGCAGAGTACACACAAGAAGAAAAGTAACTGACTGCACCGGATCCAAAGACTGGGGTGGACCTCTTTCTTAATGTCCAGTGTCCTTTGTCATGAGATTTGGTGCAATAAGTCTTTAGACCAGCAAGTCTCACTTGGAGATGATGGCATATCAGATTTACATTATGGCTCAATTATGAATGAGCAATAAATGTATGGTGGGGAACTGTATTAGAGGAAGGCAGCATTAATAGCTGAACCACTGGTTTAGTTTTTGTTAAAAACCATGAAAATTTTGTTTTACTTTAGGAGTGGAAGCTGGACACTCTTTGTGACTTATATGAGACTTTGACTATCACACAAGCAGTTATCTTCCTTAATACAAGGCGCAAGGTGGACTGGCTCACAGAGAAAATGCATGCGAGAGACTTCACAGTTTCTGCTCTGGTAAGAGTTGGATTTAATAATGCTAATTATAGCCATTAAAGCAGGATTTAACTACAATATGGCTGCTCAGTGCTGTGTTGTCGTTCCCCCTGCTCAGAACAATTGTTTCTTAACTATACCTGTCTGCTATCCACCTGTAGCAGCCAGGGACGCTTGGTCTCATACATGATAGAAATTAAATGTATACCTGAATAGAGATTTTTGAATTGAGTTGTTGCATTTGCAGCATGGTGACATGGACCAGAAGGAAAGAGATGTCATCATGAGAGAATTCCGATCAGGGTCAAGCCGTGTTCTGATCACTACTGACTTGTTGGTGAGTCTGCTTTTTTTGTTTTTTAGTACCAAAGCTAGATTTATGGGGAAGGTTTTATTAAGTAACCTTAACCAATTCAGGCTAATTGGCAGAATGAATTAAGACCACACTCCACAGTGGACTGTACCACTTAGTATGGTTCATTACTATATTGTGGCCTACATTGACTGCAGGGATGTCTAGGTTTTTTTTAATTAGGATATTGAACCACCTCTGTATATTTCAGGCTCGTGGGATTGACGTGCAACAAGTGTCCTTGGTTATAAACTATGATCTTCCTACCAATCGTGAAAACTATATTCACAGGTGAGAAGAAAGCATCTCCTATATTTATATTGGAGAAAAATTCAAACATTTTTCTACGGTGTTTGTATTCAAGGTACTGGCAAATCAGGGAATAGATTGCAGTAAAAAGGCATAGGCATAGTAATTTACTAAGGTCTAAAATTGTATTTGGGAAGATTGGTCAGAACAAAGTGGGAAAACTTGTAATGTGGCCAAGGTTGCGTACACACATGCAGATGAGGTTGCTTTAGATTTTTTTGGTCTTAGTTTATGCTTTTTGAGCCTTATTAGTGATTTTCTTTGTGTCCATGTGCATTTTTTCTTGGTGATTGATTCTATACAGTTGGGATTTTCTTGGTGTTGCTGGTAGCATTTTTTTGAGTGATTCCCTGGTTTAGTTATAGTGGCTTTTATCCCTAAATAAATTGAATTGTACTTTGTTATATGATGTAAAAAAAGACTTTTTAAAAAATACAGGAGTCGATAGCGGCAGTTGATGACGAGATGGCACTCAGAAACGGCGTTGACGTAATTTAGGACGTGGAATCATAAGCGAAACAGCACACTGTTTGAATAAAGAGCGAGTCGGTATTTATATTTGATTTTCTTTTGTCATGATTATTTGATATTTTAAGTTGTTCCAGCCCAAGGCATTTTGTATGTTAGCATTTCTGATAGGGAGCATTAGGTGGTTTGTATTGTCTGGTACTTTGTAGAAGGTAGAGAGCTGTTTTGGAGGTAACACGTTTGAGTAATTTCAGTATAACGTGTGAAAAGAAGCTGAGCAAAAAGCAGTGATAAGTTTGGGTTACCATACCAAATACTTGCTTTCACACTGGAAAAAAGTAAGTTTTAGAAAATAGTTAACCTTGCAGCATTTGTATTTACAGTTCCAGAAGTGCGTCGAAATGGATTGTATAACTGTTTTCTTTTATTCCTGGTGTTTACATTTGTCCCAGGCTGACAACTGCTCCTGGCTGGCCCACTTTGGTATGGGCTTTAATTTCACCCCAAACACAATACTGTCATCTGCTTTATTGTAATGCTCAAGGCGCCTATCTCATTTTGCAGCCAGACAAGCCTTGAATTCTTTTGGCACTATCTACAAAGGAAGATGTTTTTCCACCTGGATATTGGTTTTATCAGCTAGTGCTCCACTTAGAAGCACGAACTATAACCCTGATAAGTAAACAGCAGCTGATGGTTTAACAAGTGGATCGTCATATTCAGTAGTTTTAAATAGTACTTAAAGCAACTTGCTGACTGCTGGTTTCTCTTTCTCTTACACAGAATTGGCAGAGGGGGTCGATTTGGGAGGAAAGGTGTGGCTATAAACTTTGTTACTGAAGAAGACAAGAGGATTCTTCGTGACATTGAGACTTTCTACAATACTACAGTGGAGGAAATGCCCATGAATGTGGCTGACCTAATTTAATTCCTGGGATAGTTTTTGAATGCAGTGCTCGCTGTTGCTGAATAGGCGATCACAACGTGCATTGTGCTTCTTTTGAGAATATTTGAATCTTGTCTCAATGCTCATAACGGATCACAAATACAGATTCTGATAGCGAAGCGACTTTAGTCCTGAGCTCTTGTGAGGAGAGGCATTGGCTTTATCCTCTTTAGAGTTAGACTGTTGGGGGTGGGTATAAAAGATGGGGTCTGTAAAATCTTTTTTTCTTAGAAATTCATTTACTAGTTATGTAGAAATGGTTGTATTAGATGTACTCTATCATTTAATAATATACTTGTGGACTAAAAGATATAAGTGCTGTATAAAATCAGCCAATTATGTTAAACTAGCATACCTGCCTTTACTGTGTTTGTCATTAGCCTAACTAGAATGGCCTTTAAGTGATTTTTTTTTTTAGAAAAAAAATTTGAATGCATTTTGTTGGTATTTATTCAATAAAGTATAAGTGTGAACTGGACCCTGTTGCTAAGCCTCAGCAAGCAATCATCCTAGGTAGGGTTAACCCCCCATTAAAATTGCCATATTGCACATGTCTTAATGAAGTTTGAATGTTAAATAAAATTGTATATTCACTTTAGGTGGTTTGGTCATTTTTATTTGTAAGATCTGGTGTCATACAAAAGAATTAATGATCAGCATCTTTAACAATTCTGAGTTAGTTGCTGCATCACAGTTGCACAGAGGCTCATCAACTGCAGGTGCTCATCTGCACCATCTGCTAAACATTTATCCACTTCCTGCAAAGGAAAAAAAAGTTACCAAAGCAAGCAAGCCAAAAAAAAGGCTTGGGAATTTGTTTTCAAGTGTAATACTTACAGCAAGTTTTTCTGTAATAATGGACTTCTGTTTATCAGATAGGTTTTCATTTTCTATAATTATATCATGAAGTTGATTGACAAGCTGGGTAGCTGCATGTCCTTCATCTATTAGGTTCTGTAACAAAGTGTAAGGATTTTTGTTGCTTAATCTAATTATGCATACAATCTTCAGTAAGCTCATCATTTAGGGGTGGGATCATAATGTTGAGTTGATGGATGCAAATGACTCATCCAGAACAGTTGCCCCAGGTTCCCCTGGCCTCTGCTGGGACTCCCATTCATTGTAAAATGATTTATTACCTTTACCACAGCTTCTAGTTTGTCAAAAGAGCCACTGTGACATGCAGTGAATATTCCATCAATGGTTGCAGCTGGTATTACCTGAAACAGGCATTAAAAATCAGGGCAAGGTCTAGCTTTGAGGACTGTAAAAGCCAGAAGAGTCAAATAGTGTACTTACCCCAGCAATGTCTGTGATCACATCTTCAGAAACTTCCTTTCCACCTGTTAGTCGAGTGGCACTTTGAAGAAATGTAATGGCTTTCCGTAAATCTCCTTCTGATACTTTAACAAGATATGCTATTTCCTGAAGAGAGAATTTGCAAGAAAATTGGGTAAAGGTGCTTGCCACACAAGCTATTTTCCCAGAATTCAGAGTAAGGAGTAAACCTCTAACCTACATAAAATCATGTTAAGATACTAAAAATGTCATGTAAATCAAATAGAATTCACAATAATGCATGTGTAGGATCTTGTGTTTCAACTGTGGCTCACTTAACATCAAGATTTGAGCATTATTTACAAGACCAAAGATGTACACTCATTAAGGGGATTAGTATAAAACCAACCACCATAATAATTAGTAATTACCTCATTGCCAATTTTGACATTTTCTTTCTCAGCAATATCCAGTAATCGCTTCTGTTGAATTTTATCTGACAGAGGCTTGAAGCGGAATTTTGAACATCTAGAAGTGAGGGGTTCAATTATTCTGAAAAAGATTGAAAGAACCATGATACATTTCAAAGCACAGAGGAGGGCTCTGGTGGTTCTCACTACAAATCCAAGTTGAGAGATGGAGTTACTTTGATCTGATTATTATACATGTAATAATAGGTAACTGAAAGTACAGAAGACAGAGTGAGCAGGAATCTACAGTATTCAAGAACTGTAATGCCACTACCAAGTTCTAGTTATAGGCTCTTCACTTCAAAAAATAGTGGGTATAGATAAGTCACCTGTCTATAACCCATAACTATATAACAATACTATGCCCAATTTTAAAAAGGCTGTTTATTTAGCCTGTGTCTTCAGGTTGTATACATACCGACTGACATAGTTACAGATGAGGCAGAATCTGGTTGTCTTAGACTCTTTTTCCATGGTACGCCTTAAAGCAGCCTGAGCAGCTGAAGTCATAGAATCTGCTTCATCCAGAATTACAATCTTAAAGGGAGGACATGGCTTTCCACTAAATCAGAAACAAAGGAGTTGAACCTCGATAAGTATTTTTGCTGAGATAAGTTTATCTTTCAGTAAGTGGTAATTCATAACTCTTTAGAACTCTGCTTATGGTATGTGTATGGGTGGGTACATGCCTTCCACAGCACTCATGTGGAGATAACTGTAAAACTCGAGTTGGTTCTCCCACCATTACATGGGTTCTGGATAACAATCTCAGGTTGTCAGGCTTGCATGGCAAGTACTTTCCCCTCTGAATCATCTCTAAATTTATGTTTAATTTATAAAGTGATACAGTGAGAAAACACAATGAGATTTAACAACTATAACATTACTTACTATTCTTGTGCTTTAAAGTTAGGAAGAGAAAGGGAAGTAACTGTAGCACATTTAATACTGTAACAGTTCAAGTGGACACCAGACAAACAAGTGATTTATGTCCTAGACAGGTCAGAATGACACTGTTTCTCCAAGCTACTCAAAAGACTGGTGTGCAATCTAAAACACATGCCTCTAAAATTCTTAGACCATAGTTAGCCATAGGTAACTGAAAGTACAGAAGATAGAGTGAGCAGGGATCTAGAGTATTCAAGAACTGTGAAGCCACTACCAAGTTCTAGTTATAGACTCTTCACCTCAAAAACCAGCTGTTTATCAGGAGTCCCTTCTAGACTCCCAGTTCCAATCACTAGGCTACTTCCTGTCTCCTAAGCTTTGCCTGTTCTGGAAATTCATGGTTTATAGCTGGCCTTTTAGTGTAATTTTTTTTAACTGCTAAGCAGATGAGTGTTTCATATTTTATTCACCCACTAGCCAGTTTGGTATGTTTTGGTATATTAACTACTAGGAACAATTATGAATATTGTATATACATTTTAGGCAACCACATTTTCATCTTTTAGGCATGCACACTAGGAATGGAAATGTGTATACAGCGTTCATGTGAGGTGAAAGGACAACCTTTTCTCCCCACCTTATGGGATGGACTCAGGCTGCAGGTCTGTGAGGCTGGCCCCTTCACTGTTGGCTATCTTAAGTTCTGCTTAATCTTTAGAGGAGCTGACAAGCTTTTCCAAGACTAACTGTTCTGTTTTATATCCCAGTCATCAATGTGACATTTACAGTGTTTTTCCTTAACAAGTGCTTGTTATTTTCTGTTCTTGTTATTTTAGTGATGGTGATGGTTGAGAAACATCTATGACCTTTGCCCTTTTTGTAGTTGTATTTTTACTGAGTTTTAATTCTTGACATTTTTCAGATAAATGATCTGCAAACATTTATTGCAGTTTTGTGGGTTCTTATTTTCTGAACATGGGTCATGCTTCATTTTTATTTCCTATATCATGTTTTTTAACAAAGTTTAATTTTGTTTTTGACTTCTACTGTTCATTTAGTAAGTCCAGGATCATTTTATAATATTCAGTAAACTACTAGAGGCATTTCAATGCTTCTCAGTCTTCATGCTGCCAGGCTGTTACTGATGTGTGATATCACTGCATGGGGCTTTGGCTGACACTAATGCCTTCAATGTAACAACAAAGGGAGGGAGGGAGGGAGGGGCCATGCCACTAAGTATCCACCCCAGGGAGCAGCAGAGGCAGCAGGATTTGGCTCTCATACAAGGGCGCATGCTAAGGAAGATCCAGACTGCAGCAGCAGTAGGACCTTGCAGGCAGGGCCTGGCTGCATGAACAACAGTGACACTCTCAACTGCTGGCCTTCCACTTCCCACCCTCCACACTCACTCTAGTATACGGGCTTCTACTGCCAACACAGAATATGTCTTACTCTGGTTTGTGTTAAACATGAAATCTGAGACTGGTAATTTAAAGAAACAATTTATTTCCCCGTTCTAGATATCAGGAAGCCCAAGATGGTGAAATCTTATCTGTTGAGGATTTTCTAGTGAAACCACTCTGAAAGAAACCATATGCCCAATTGTGGTAAGCAGGGTATGTCATCTTCTGATAAAGACACCAGAGGGGCTTTCCTTCCTAACTTCTAATCAAGTTATCCCACCAGAATGTCTGACCTTTAAACACCATTCACACATGAATTTGGGAATTAAATTTCTAATACTTGACTGAAGGCCAAATTAAAACCACAGCCTATATGTAAAGCGAACATAATGAACTATATTATGGAGCAGGGAAGGCAAGTTACTTACTCTGAACGACTTCCTGACACAGTTAACTGAGCAAAATTTTTCACTTTCTCTCGGACTACTTGTATTCCGCGTTCATCAGATGCATTTAACTCAAGGACTCTTAATCGAAAGAGTTCTGGCCTATTTCAAAATGAAAAGTATTATGAAATATCACATAGCACTACATAACCTAGGTGCTGATGCTGTGTAGTAGTTTAGAAACCACCTGGTGAGCAAGACAGAGCAAGACAGAAGGCACACACATGTTCTTTCTTTGCAGAGCTATGCATTTAACATTTTGACTAAAACCTAGAGCCCAGGCATGGTGGCCAACACCTTTAATCCCCAGCACCTGGGAGGCAAAGACAAGCAGATCTGGGATCTCTGTGACTTCAAGGCCAGTCTGGTCTATATATAGTGAGACCCTGTCTAAAAAACAAATAACAACAACAACAAATACTATATCTAGCAAACATTTCTAAGTTTTATGTAATCAACTTTTTCTATTAAAACAATAGTAACATATTCCTTGATAATTTATTCAATTGTTAGACGTCTATTAAGTTTTTTGTTTGTTTTTTTTTTCCCCGAGACAGGGTTTCTCTGTGTAGCCCTGGCTGTCCTGAAACTCACTCTGTAGACCAGGCTGGCCTCGAACTCTCGAACTCAGAAATCCACCTGCCTCTGCCTTCCAAGTGCTGGGATTAAAGGCGTGTGCCACCACCGCCCGGCGTCTATCAAGTTTTTTAATGAATATGTAAAGTAATATGGCACAATACAGATCTGAGAAACAAAAATAATAAAATTATGCTCAAGAAAACTATTGTTTCAAAATTCTCTCTAGCTCATCCACTTTTTCATTTGGAAATGGTTTTGCACTGGGCAGTGGTGGTGCATGCCTTTAATTCTAGCACTTGGGAGGCAGAGGCAGACGGATTTCTGAGTTCGAGGCCAGCCTGGTCTACAGAGTGAGTTCCAGGACAGCCAGGGCTACACAGAGAAACCCTGTCTCAAAAAAAAAAAAAAAAAAAAAAAGGTTTTGCTATGAAGCCCAAATTGGCCTCAGCCTCAAATATGAAATTATTTTGATGGGATTATAGGAGTGTTCCACCATATTTGGTTCATATGCCTCTGTGTGTGTGTGTGTGTGTGTGTGTGTGTGTCTGAGTCCGAGGATGCCAGAAGTTGTTTTACATCCCCTAGAGCTGATATGAAGTACCTGATGTGAGTGCTGGGATCTAGGATCTGAACTCTGGTCCTTTGATAACTTTGATAAAGCCAAACTATCTCTCCAAGTCAATGGTTTAGTTTATTCTTTAAGTCACATGTACAACTAAGTGTGACATTTACAATTAAAGATTGATAAAGTAAATTCTTTAAGAATATCACTGATGGGCATGTGGTGGGGCAATGCCATTAATCCCAGCACTTGGGGGACAGAGGCGAGTGAATCTCTATGAGTTTGAGGCCAACCTGGTCTATAAAGTGAGTTCCAGGACCGCCAGGGCTACACAAAAAAACTCTGTCTAAAAAGCAAAACAAACAAACAAAAAGAATATTTACTAACAGACTTTGGAAACTGTTGTCATGTGGCACAAGTTGGTCTTGAACTCATGATCCTGTCTGCCTTAGCCTCCTGAATGTTACAAGTATGCACAATGACTGGCCATGAGCATAATTTTTAATGTATAGTAAGAAGATACATAAAGTAGATCTGTGACCCATTCCAAAGTAAATATGCCGCTGAATTTTGTTAAAATTACACCACTAAGGTTGGTTCAGCTTGAATCTGTGAGTCATGGAATAAAAGCTCTGAGAAGCAAGAAGATTGCTCTCTTACACAATCATCATCTCTTACATCAGGCTCGGAACAGCTTTTCCCCTTTGAAACTGTTGCAAATTCTTAAAAGGAACTGCATTTAGGAACAGTACAATTCAAAGTCTCTAACAGTTACAGTCGTCAAGGCAGTAAACATGGAGGAGGGATGTAAGCGAGGTCACAGAAGGCTTTCCAATGTACCGAAGATTCCACTCGATTACCACTCAACTGGGCTCACGCTCGGGGACCTGAGCACAGGGAATGTGGCCTGGCCACTAACAGCAGGGCTGAGGAGCCACATGGCAGGCGCTACACAAGCCGTATGTGAATCATTAAGAGGATATGATTGGTCTTCTGGGTCCCATAATTTAAATAAAGTAATGAAATCACAAGTTTCTCTGTTACAGTACTCTCAGCATATGAATAAGGTTCAGAATGCTCAAAAAAGGTAGGATTCACTCAGAGAAGAGTAAAATGGGGCCATGGGGATCTAATTAATTTTTCTTTTCAAGGTAAGTTTCTCTGTGTAGCCTTGGCTATCCTGGAACTCCCTCTGTAGACCTGGCTAGCCTTGAACTAAAATCCTCCTGCTTCTGCTGGGATTAAAGATGTGTGTCCAAGACAGAACCATGGGAACAAACAAAACCAGCAATAAAGCCAACAAGCACCCCACAGAGAGAAAGGGGGTAGCAGGAAACAGCACCAAAATGTTTTGTGCTTTGTGAGTGTGTTTATATATACCTGAGTGCAGGTATCCTCGGAGGGAAGGGGGGAAGTGGTATGGGATTAGCTGGAGTTGCTTAGCATGGGTGCTGGGAACTGAACTTAGTTCCTCTGGAAGGTCAGAAAGCCCTCTTAACCCTACATCATCTCTTCAACATCTGGTGAATAGTCTTAACCATTGATTCTAACATCATGTCTTAAACTCTTTTTCATTCTTCAAACGATTTCTTTTTATTTATGTGTGTTTCTATGTGAGTGCATGCTACGTGTATTATCAGAGGCAAAATGGTGTCTGGTACCCTGGGGCTGGAGTTACATGCATTTGTGATGCTACTGGATGTAGGTGCTGGGACCCAAATTCTGGTCCTTTGAAAGATAAGAAAGCTCTCTTAAGCCCTAAGCTATCTCCTCAGCCTCTAGTATATACTCTTTAAAAAAGAAGTTGACCAACAGTGGTGGTTTGAATAGAAATGGGCCCCCACAGGCTCATTTATTTCAATATTAGTTACCAGAGAATGGCATTATTGGAAAAGAATTAGGAGATGTGGCCTTCTTGGAGGAAGTGTGTCTCTGGGATGGGCTTTGAGGTTTCGAAAGCACAAGCCAGGCCTAGGTGCGCTCTTGTGCTCTGTCTGTCTCTGCCTGTGGATCAAGACGTAGAGCTACTTGTACAGCCATTATGTCTGCCTGCATGCTGCCATGCTCCCCACCATGAAGGATAACCCTCTGAAACTGTAAGCCAGCCCCAATTAAATGCTTTCTTTTCTTTTCTTTTTTTCTTTTTTCTTTTTTGGTTTTTTTTTTTTTCGAGACAGGATTTCTCTGTGTAGTCCTGGCTGTCCTGGAACTCACTCTGTAGACCAGGCTAGCCTCGAACTCTTGAACTCAGAAATCCGTCTACCTCTTCCTCCCAAGTGCTGGGATTAAAGGTGTGCGCCACCAGTGCCCGGCTAATGCTTTCTTTTATAATTGTTGCCTTGGTCATATGCTCAGAAATAGAATAGTGACTAAGACCCCACCAACATCAACTTACCCAAAGAGCTCTCTAGCTGCTGCCAAGATGGTGGATGTTTTGCCAGTTCCAGGTGGCCCATAGAATAAGAGATTAGGAAGCTGCAGAAATTATATTTTAATGTTTATAGATTATATACTGTTACAAATAGATGAAACTGACAATACCTAACCACCTGTCAAATGATATGGTAACTTTTCTAACAGAAATACACATGTCTAAAGATTTTTTAATATAAGTGGTATCACAGTATTTAAAGTTCTAAACATGCCATGTAATTGTAAGTGACCTTCAAAAGCACAAGACAGACCTAGGTGCGCTCTTGTGCTCTGTCTGTCTCTGCCTGTGGATCAAGACGTAGCCCTCAGCTACTTCTACAGCCATCATGTCCACTTAAAAGTTTCAGGCCACTACTCCCTGATAACAAGTTCCAATTCAGGCCGGCAAACTCTAAAGGTAAGAATGTAGCCAACAGTTTTACTTTTGTCAAATGTTGCCCTTCTTGTTCATTCATGCTTTATTCATGACTCACTTAACCAGGCCACTCTGGGTGCTACTTAAAAGCTTTCATTGGCTTCATACTCCTCTTGGGAAACAGTAACAAACCTCAAGCACTTACAGTGACTTCTGATAAGAAAGAACTTTCCTCTCTGAATGTCTGTACTCCTCAGTCTGGACTGTGGCTTCATTCTTCATGTCATTTCAAGACGACACATTGCAAGTTGGAGCCTTATCTAACATCCACTCTAAAGTGGCTCTGCTTTTATTCACTATTTTTGCTGCACTGTTTTAATTAGCAGTTATTAAGTGTTTAACAGTTAAGTTTCATTACAAAAGACATGCTTGGCCGGGCGGTGGTGGCGCACGCCTTTAATCCCAGCACTTGGGAGGCAGAGGCAGGCGGATTTCTGAGTTCGAGGCCAGCCTGGTCTACAGAGTGAGTTCTAGGACAGCCAGGGCTACACAGAGAAACCTTGTCTCGAAAAACAAAAACAAAACAAACAAACAAAAAAAGACATGCTTACCTCACTAGATCACTTAAAAAGGTGAAAAACATTTTGTTTATAGCTGGGAGTAACGGTGCGTGCTTTAATTAGCACTCGGGAGGCAGAGACAGGCAGAGTTTGATGTAGGACAGCCAGGGCTACACAGAGAAACCCTGTCTTGAAAAAGAAAAGAAAGGAAGGAAGGGAAGGAGAGGAAGGAAGACAGATGACTACTTTAACATTAACAACATATAGTTTAAGTTTTACAGACATGAAAGATGCAAGAATAGGAAGGCTGGAGAGATGGCTCAAACATTAAGACCACTTGACGAGTGTTCTTCCAGAGGTCTTGAGTTCAATTCCCAGCAATTACATGGTGGCTCACAACTATCTGTAATGGGGTCTGATGCCCTCTTTTGGTGTGCATGAAGACAGAGCACTCATATACATGAATAAATAAATCTTTTTAAAACTGTAAGAACAAAGTCACAGTGCTTATGCCAAGGTTCAGAATGCAGCTGAGGTCACTGAATGAAGCTATCGGAAAAGTGAGGCAGAAGTTGCAAAGGAGACTCTTGGGGTTTGGGCGATGACAAGATGGTGGAATGTCTGCTGAGGAGCTGGTCCAAGACAAAGACCGTGGGCTGCAGGTGGCAGAGCTGGAGGAGTGAGGCTAAATCCTCTGTTCTAGAGCCTCAGTGTAAGCCTAGATATCTATCCTACTGGGTTTAAGATATTCGTCTACTCTGTCCTTGCTGTGACCTTTCTTCCCTTTGCAGATAGGGATGTTCACTCTGTGCACTGTATGTTATTATGTAACTTGGCTTTGACTTTAAGGGATTCACAACTGAGACTGAGTCTCAGAAGAACCTCTGCCCTTATACTTTTAAACAGTTTTACCACTGTGAAAGACTGAGAATTTTTGAAATTGTTTTGAATACATTTTTGTATTATGAGTCAGCCATCAGCCTAGGGGGACAAAAATTAGAATGCCATAGTTTAAGAAAAGGGAGACACTTGTGATGATAGCACTAATCATATATTTGACATGAGATAAGCTTCAGAGCATGGAGCCAGGGGGTTGAACACTGGCATTCACATCTCTGCCTCTTCTTCATTTTTATGTTCATTGGTGTTTTGCCTGCAAGTGTGTCTGTGTATGGGTGTCAGAAGCCCTAGAACTAGAGTTACAGATGGTGTGAGCTGCCATGTGGGTGCTGGGAATTGAACCTAGGAAGAGCAGCCAGTGCTCTTAACCACTGAGCCATCTGTTTCTTGAGTATAAATGCAGTGTGACCAGCTGCCTCAAGTTCCTGATGCCATGCCTTCTCTATCTTGTACTGTGAGCCAGCATAAATCCTAAGTTGTATTTTGTCTCAGCAATGTACAAAATAATTAGCATATTATACCAGGTCCCATAGTTTTTGAGATAATAATTATTTTGATCTGTACATATGACTCAGTATTTGTTATAATTAACCCAAGTAACTATAATACATTTTAACTCTTTAAGACAGGAGTAAAAGTTGTTTTTAAAAATGTTTCTAATTCACATTTATTAGTTATACATAAGATAATGGGTTTTATATGTGTGTGTATATCATATTTTTAGCTTCATTACCTTTTCTTTCTTTCAAGAGATAGGGTTTCTCTGTGTAGCTCTGGATGTCCTGGAACTAGCTCTGTAGACCAGGCTAGTCTCAAACTCACAGAAATCTGCTTGCCTCTGCCTCCTGGCATTAAAGGCATGCACCATCACCATGTGAAAGGTTTGTAATTTTTTAAGTGTAACAGTTTTATTTATGATTTTCCTCAGTGTCTCAGGGACCCCTCAAATGTTCCAGGCTATTTCTAGTCTCGGTGCTAATGTAAATGTGAGGCATGTCTAGGGAAGAGGTGCACTAGAGTGCCCCCTCCTCTTCCTGACTGTGTATTCCATGGAAACAGCTCCCCTCCCTTCACATCACTCATTTTTATACTATATAAACTGATCTCAGAAAACAACAAACAAACAAACAACTATTGTAGTTCAACTTTAAAATATTTGAAAGGACTTTAATTCTTTAGGGAAAAAAAATCACTTTACAAATTTAGTCAGAAATGAGGTAGAAAATATCAAACAAGACCTTTTCTTTCTTCTGCAGCACTGGGGAGTAAACTTAAGGCCTCTATGTGCTATTTAAGTAAGGTTTCTACAAGATATTTAAATATCTACCAGTAGGCCAGGGTGGTGGTATTGCATAAAAGACAGATCTCTGAGTTGAGGTCATCCTGGTCTACAGAGTGAGTTCCAAGACTAAAGAGAAACTCTGTCTCAAAACACAAAACAAAGCAAAACCAACCAACCAGCCAACCAGCCAAAACCAAACTACCAATAAAGGTCTCCATCCCTCTCTTTATTTTATTTTGAGGCAGAGTTCGCTAAGTTGTCCAGACTGGCCTTGAATTTACAATCCTCCTGCCTCAACTCCCTGAATAGCTACGGCTATACGTACACCAACAGATCAAGCTAAATAAAAAGAGGTTGTATTAGGTGATAGTCTTATACTTGTCCAAAAGTGTTAATTAGATTTTGTAATCTGTTACTACCAATTAAAATTGATAATACTGTAACATTAAAAATTAAGTGGCTATTTGGATCAATAAAAATGAATACTGAAAAGGCTTTTAACATTTTTTAACTTGATTTTTTCCTCAATGCATAATATAGTACAGATTGAGCATCCCTAACTAGAATCCCCAAATCCAAAATATTTTGAACACTAGGGTGATGCCAGAAATTCATGCTTACCCTGAACATATTTTTTTCACTATATTATCCTTTAACCCCAACACTAAAAAGAAACAGGCAGATCTCTGAGTTTGAGGCCAGGCTGGTCTACTGAGTTCCAGGATGGTCAGGGCTACATAGAAAGACCCTGACACAAAAAGTCAAACAAACAAATAGACAAACAAAAAAAAAAGTTGTGGGTAGATGGGTGGCAGGAGAGACGCCAGCAACCATGTGATACTAACTTACAACTGCCTGTATGAGCTGGCACAACTTTGTTTTTGATGGTACAAAATCCTCAGTTCATATGCCACTGTATAAAATTCAGGGCATGGGTCTAAGGTATGCAACACAAATGAATTCTGCGCTGATTTGGGGGGGGGTGTCTCATCTCAAATATACTTAATTTGGATCTATGTAAATGCTATGGCTTAAGTTTTAAATGTTTCCCAAAAGCCTGTCTGTATATTACGGCTGATGAGCCTGTGGTACTAACGGGTAAAGAAACTTCTGAACTATAAGCCAAAACAAATGTTCCCATTTAAGCTGTATGTATCAGACATTTTGTCAAAAAGAAGCAAAGTTGCCTAACCTAGCAAATATTCCAAAATCTGAAAACACAGAATCTAAAATCCAAAATCTTTGCTTTCAATCATTGTGGAAAAGCAGTATTCCTCAACTTGTATGGTAACTTCAGTAATAAATAATGGTAGTCCAGAGCAGAACTCCCCAAAGGCAGCTAGGAAACAACATGTAAGGTAAAGCCTACTACCCATGCTCACTTCAGACTCCCTTTCTTTTACTAAGCTCACTCGGCACAGGGACACTTCTTGACATAGAATTGAAACTCAGCTAGGTGTCCTGGCACTTGCCTGTCAGTCATACCATTTGGGAGGTAGAGATAGGAGGATGTGAAATATGAGACTATCCTCAGCTATGCTGGGAATTCAAGGCTACTTAGGGTACATAAAACCCAGTTTTGGGGCTGGAGAGATGGCTCAGTGGTTAAGAGCACTGTCTGCTCTTCCAGGGGTCCTGAGTTCAATTCCCAGCAACCACATGGTGACTCACAACCATCTGTAATGCCTCTTCTGGTATGTCTGAAGACAGCTACAGTGTACTCCTATAAATAAAATAAATCTTTAAAAAAACAAAAACAAACAAACAAACCCAAGTATAAGCCGGGCAGTGGTGGCGCATGCGTTTAATCCCAGCACTTGGGAGGCAGAGGCAGACGGATTTCTGAGTTCCAGGCCAGCCTGGTCTACAGAGTGAGTTCCAGGACAGCCAGGGCTATACAGGGCTAAACAGGGCTGTTTCAAAAAAGCAACCCCCCCCCAAACCAAAAAAACACAACAACAAAACAAAAACAAAACAAAACAAACAAAAAACAAAAAAAACCCAGTATCAAAGTACTAAAGCAAAGCAAACTGTTAATCCTTCAAGTGGGTTTATGTTATCTCTAATACTTTAAAACACAGTTACCAAGGATACTTATCCTGTGTGTGGCAGGAAATGTAGTAGTGCTCTAAGAGTTAAATAAAGTTAGGTTAAAAAGAACAGGTGCTCACACATATGCATGTTTCAGACAGGGTCTCACTGTGGCTGGCCTGGGATTTACTGTGTAGACCAGGCTGGCCTCTGCCCCCAGATGTTGGAATTAAAACCACACGACACTCCACACAGACAAATACACACACACACTTTAAAATCCAACTTGTTTTAATAACACACATCTGTAACTGTAAGATGCTTATATGGTTTACATGTTTAGTCTCTTTCCTCTCTAAAATAAACGCTCATGGAGAATGGAGAAAGGGTCCTAATCTATCTTAGTCAGTGATCTTTACTTCAATACTACATCATAATGCCACATAATGCCACATAGAAGATGATTTGGCAAACTATTTATAGTTTTAGAAATAACATCAAAGACTTATACATGTATTTCCTATGAACAAAAGGCTAATAAAGGAAAGGGTGATGACCTCTTACATTTTCCGACGCCATCAAACACCTTCTACTTACATCAGCTCCTTCTAGAGACTTTTTCAGCACTGCAACCACCTCTTCCTGGAAAGCAACTTCATCCACACACTTCGGACGGCTGGGGAACAGAGGGAAGGGGGTTATGGAGCACACGGAGGAAGCCACAGAAAGGTCTCAAGTGTCCCCGCTGCTAAGGCAGCACTCACATGTTACTTATGAAATTGAAGGAGGCAGAAACTCCATTTGTATTTACTTGAGCAAATACATACTACTGGAATAAAATTATTTTTGCCTTCTACTTGTACTGCATGATAAAATATTAAGCAAAATTTCATATATCATAAAGAACAAACTTAGAATTAAAGTGAACTGCATGTGGAGACTTACCTCTTTAATCCCAGCCAGGGGGAGAGAGAGGTAAATAGTTCTCTGAATTTGAGGCCAGCCTGGTCTATTTAGTGTATTCCAGGACAGTCAGACCTTATCTCAAAACAAAACAAAGCAAAACAAAACAAAACAAACCAACAAAAAAAAAAGGTGAACACTTCCCTACAAAGCCTCTCTTGAGAAGCTCATGAAGCTGAGTTGTAAAGGACTATTTGATAACATAACAACTGGCAACTACTTTGGTTTAAAATAAGTAAATAACACACTCTTTGTCAGCTAACACATTAAATGGTCAGTACCATTTTTCCCCTCTTCGAGACAGGATTTCTGTATATCCCTGGTTGTTCTGGAACGTGCTCTGTAGACAAGGCTGGCCTTAAACTCAGAAATCTGCTGCAAGATGGGATTAAAGATATGTGCCACCATGACCAGCTAATAATTTTGATCTTAAGTCACTTAGTAATTTTTATTTTTTGAGACAATGTCTCACTAAGCACCTTTGGCTAGCTTGAAACTCCCTATCTGGAACACAGACATATGCTTGCCTCTCCCTCTCCAGTGTTGTGACTAAAGGTATGAGCCATCAGCCAATACTTACTAATTTTAAGAGAAACTATGACAAAGTTGTTTTTCCAAAATTTATGACTGGGATTTCTACTTAGTAAATTAATAAATCATCCTTTTATTCTGAGAACATTTCATGGGGGCTATAGACATGGCTCCATGGATAAGAGCACCTACTAATCTTCCAGAGGACCTGGGCTCAATTCCCAGAGCCCACATGGTAGCTCACAACCATCTGTAACTCTAGTCCTATGGTATCTGGTGCCCCTTTCTAGCCTCTATGGCCACTAGGTACATATATGGTGCACAGATTATATATGCAAACACTCAAACACATGAACTAAAAAACAATTTAAATTTTGTTATTTGTTGTGTGTATGTGCCACACACAGAGATGATATAGAGGGAACAAATTTCAGAAGTCACTTCTCTCCTTCCATCGAGATGTTCAGGAATCAAACTCATGTGGTCAGGGTTCCACAGTAAGTGTTTTTACCCACTGAACCCTTTCACCGGCCCCAAATTCTTTGACCCACATTTTCATAATTAACTAGGTTGATAGTGGGCAAGAATCATTGTGTGTGCTATAAAGATCTGCAAGGATGAGACAGATAACAATGAAGACATCCAAGGATGTTTGACAGATACAAGGTGATGTAAAACTCTCCAAAGGAGAAGGAATATAGAATCTGAGCACATGCCCCATGTCCCTGTTAACTAAAAAAAAAAAAAAAAAATAGTTTTGGGGTGGTGAGATGGCTCAGTAGGCAAAGGCACTTATTGCCAAGTCTGATGACCCAAGTTTAACACACTGAATACACAAGGTAGCTGAGAACTTACTCCTGTAAGCCGCCCTGGCCTCCACCTATGAGTCAAAGCATGCTTGTTATGGCATGCATCCTCCTTCCTCAACAAATTTTAAAAATATGAAACATGTAGATTTATGGGCTGGAATATAGAACAGTGGTAAAGTGCTTACCCAGCAAGTAGAATAGCGTGTTCACTCATAAAAAGTAAATCAAAACCCTAGGTTAGGGTTAGGGAGATGCCCAACAGGTCAGTGCAACCTTTCAAAGCCAGATGATCTGAAGGTGATCAATGGAATGAACGCAACCACTTGCTTTGTTGGGGGGACACTATGGGATGAGTTGGGGACAGGAACGGGGTGGTATAGATGAAGTACTCATATTTGAACTTCTCAAAATTGAAACAACAAAATAACACATGAGGGCCTTGTTTGGCTTGTAAATAACCTGAAAATCCTTGGTAATCACAGAGGCTACATCTAGCTAGTGGTTATGGATACTTCTAGTATCCTCTAGCAAATGATAACGTAGTGGCACTTCACTACTAAAACAACAAAAAATCCCAACAAATTTCACCATATAATAATAAAAGCGTAAAATTTAGGCTTCAATTGAGCTGTTTATAGCCAGGTCACAGAAACGTTGCTTCCTCCATTTCTGGAGGACTCTAAAACTGTACACTTTATAAAAATCTCAGGTCATCTATAAAATAAGAGAATTAAATTCAACTACTGTATCACTCCAAGGACCTAGGACTTATCACTGGGTGATACACGTCCCCCCATCCCCACCCCCACCCCCAAAGTTATGATCTAAGTACAGCAAAGTCCCCCTTACATTGAAAAGAGACTAGAAATTAGTTATTTCAACAAAAGTGCAAGCAGTTCTTACTATTTTTCCACCCAAGGAACTGGTTTGACTTTCTTGGTTTCTCCACTGCTTCCTGCAGTGGCAGGTGTCCCCCGATCCTTGGTCAATTGTGGTTTTGTATTACTGACAGATGTGCCTTTCAGAAATGCCTGCATGGTTTCTTCTCCTGGGCGTAAGAAAAAAGAAACCGTTATGGGGCAGTTCCCCTTGAGAGGTCCCCTAACCTTGTGCCTTGCGCGAAGGCGGAGGATACATCCCGGTCCCCGCCAGCCTATAAAGGCTGACAAGACCCAGACCCGTCACTTACAGCCGTCGCCGTTCCCGGTGCCGCGGTTCCCGCCACAGGACGGCGACGAAAGGCATGGCGGGAGCGCGCCACGCAATAACGTCACTTCCGGCGCGCTTGTCAAAGTGACGCGCGCCTCTTTGGCTTGGCGTGTGTAAGTGCTCCTCCTGGCTGCAGCTGGGCTGCTCCGCTGAGGTAATCCTGTGCAGACTCAGCGGCCAGACGTCAGCTCAGCAGTCACTGCAGAGTGCGGTGAGGGGACGACGGGACCACGGGCGCGGCCTGCGGAGAAAGGCTCGAAGGACCGGGCCTAGGGCGGGCCCACGCTGGGAGAGGCTTTAATTAGGCATCAGCTTCTTGGGTTTGCTGCCGCCGTCAGTCAGCCCGAAGGTCGGGGCGGGACACCCTGCGGATTACTGCCTCGCCCCCGATATGCAAGGGCACGGGGCAAACCGCTTTTAGAAGTGTGGCATTTGAGAGTTGACTCCTTTTGTGGAGGACCACGGTTTGATACCTGTTTGTTTGTTTGTTTGTTTGTTTGGTTTTTCGAGACAGGGTTTCTCTGTGTAGTCCTGGAACTCACCTCACTCTGTAGACCAGGCTAGCCTCGAACTCAGAAATCCACCTGCCTCTGCCTCCCAAGTGCTGGGATCAAAGGCGTGCGACACCACTGCCCTGGGTTTTGATACCTGGGTTTTGATAGTCATCTGATGGCTCACAACTGGTCACTCCAGTTCAGGGGCTCCAACGACTCCTTCGGGTCTCTTCAGGCCCTTAATATATGTGGTGCACGTACTTTGCACGCAGGCAGAATATTTTTACACACACACATACACACACACACACAGCAAGAGCCCAGAGTAGATGCCTTTTACAGTCAGTAAAATCAATTTATTGCAGGGAAAGCAGACCATCTACTTAGTTATGGGCATCTTGTAATTCTCGAGACCCACTCAAAAACCTAGTGGTTGGGCTGGAGAGAAGACTCATCATTTAAAAGTACTTGCTGCTTTTCCAGAGGAGTGGAGTTTGCTTTCCAGCATCTTGGGGAAAACAAAAGTTTGGGTGGACCATACAAAAGAGAAAGAATATGACTATCTTTGTGGCATATACCAACTGTCAGCAGACAGCTTGTTCTGTGAAGGATTTACTAGTCCAAATGAGCCTTTCAGTTCTTAGCCAGCCTCTGGCCTTAAATGTCTTCATGTTAGTAAGTTCTTAGAGTAGCTATGTTAGCAAAGGTGGTCACCACACGAGACCAATAGCAACAACTGCTCTAGTAACTGCATTGTTAGGAGCTGAACATACCACCCACAGGAATGAAAGATAATCACCCTTCCTGGGCATACCAACCTTCAGGGGATCAACTAACTTATGCCCTCTAGTGGAAGAAATGTCATTGTTTCCATCAGAAATAGAATTTGCCTAATTATGCTCATTTTCTAGAGCTAAAACAATCAAAGGCTGGGTTTCATCAGAAGCCTGTGCAGGGTTTGGCAGAAGTACACTTTCAGTCCTAAAACAGACCTGCAAGGTCTGAATCTCTGTGGTGTCTGGGAATATGTATTTGTCATATAAGGTTTTTGGTTAGTGAACATTATGTTTTCGCTTCCTCCAAAACTCAATTGGAAAACCCCAATGTAATCAGTCCTCAATGTTGTTGTCAGTAATTCCAGGGTTAATGCTATAATAAAAGAATTTGTTCTTTATAGTTTTTGTTCTCCCTTGAGATGGTTCTGCAAGAGATCCTCACCAGATGGTGCCACCTTAAGCTTAAACTTCGCAGGTTTAAGAACTAGGATTCCAGTATAGGAGCTGAAGAGATGGCTCAGCAGTTAAGAGCACTGACCTCCCTCCAGAGGTCTTGAGTTCAATTTCCAGAAACCACTTGGTGGCTCAAAACCATCTGTAATGAAATCCGATGCCCTCTTCTGGTGTGTCTGAAGACAGCGACAGTCTAAAGATGAGCTACAGTGTACCCATATATATAAAGTAAATAAGTCTTAAAAAAAAAAAGAACTAAGCATAGCTGGGCAGTGGTGGCGTGCGCCTTTAATTACAGCACTTAGGAGGATGAAGTAGAAGCAGATAGATGATCTGAGTTTAAGGCCAGCTTCATGTACAGAGAGAGTTCCAGGACCAGCAAACAAGCCCTGAGCAAGCATTCGTTCATTACAAGTTACCCAGCACAAGACAGACTGCATTGCTTTTCACTACAGTATTTGTTATTCTAACTGAATTTCTTCCAGAAAATACCCCAGTTATTGTGAATGGGGATGAGAATGCAAACTGTACAGGAATATCAAAACTGGAAAAAAAATCCATGTTTACCACTGTAAAGATGGTGGGACCTGGGAGAATGGAGTCTGAAAATGAGGTGGGCTAGTCTCCTGCAATAACTAACTTTATTCAGAGCACCAGAGAGTTTATAACCTGAGGGTAAAAATAATCACAGGAGGCTCTGGAGAGGGCTCAGCAGTTAAGAACACTGACTGCTCTTCCAAAGGTCCTGAGTTCAATTCCCATCAACCACATGGTTGCTCACAATCATGTGTATTGAGATCAATGTCCTCTTCTGGTGTGTCTGAAGACAGGGACAGTGTACTCCTATACATTAAATAAATAAATCTTAAAAAAAATAGTCACAGGAGAAAAGCGTATAATCATAAAGATAAGCCATTCCTGGCAAAAACATGTTTTTTCAATAGAGGCATAAAACAATAGCCAGTTGTGACGAATAATCTGAAATAAACTCACTCCAATATACCTGGAAGGGGTATGGAAATGCATTTCAAGAACAATTTTGTGTTTTGAAGAAACTGAGGACCAAAAATGTGTCTTTTCTTGGAGTGTTCTCACAAGCACACAGAAATCTCATGACTTCATTCTTAGACTGTTCGACACCATGTTATTAGGAAAAACCTACTGCTTATGAACAAATACAAAAACCACACGTATAAGAAGCCCATGTGAGGCTGGCATTATGCTCTAGGCCAGTGGTTAACTTTCCTAATGCTGCGATCCTTCGATACAGTAATTTTGTTATTGTTATGAGTTGTACATATCTGATATGCAGGATGTATGACTCTTGAGAAAAAGTCTTTTGACTCACAAAAATGTAGCAACCCACAGGTTGAGGAACGAGAAGCATGAAGGTTAGCTATGTGTTAGCTATTCATATATAAAATATTAGAGCCAAAAGGATGTGGTAGCCCCTTTTACAGATTGACTGATCTAACTATCTCTGTCTGTCTGTCTGCCTGCCTGTCTGTTTGTCTATGCAGGGATCAGTTTCATACTCAGCAGCTCCAGTCAGCTGGGAAATGTCACCAGGAGCAAGCAGGACGATAAGAATCTGAGATGGTCTAGTGACTGAATGTCAGTAGCCAGGGTGGCCCCTGGGATGAGATGAGACACAGGGCAGAATGTGGTCTTAAGGACATCCAGGGAACAGAGGGATGGTGATTCCCAACGTGTTAGCATCCAGAATGTCAGGAATAGCAACAACCCAAATTTGTCTAGCACTTTTTGAAGCTCTAACACAGGAGCATCACTCAGTTCATTTTTACACCACTATCCCCGGCCCGGTCTACTTTTCAGCTGTGGGGATTGTTAGCATAATTACTCTATATTGGGCATTCCTATATAAGGACCTCAGGCCCATAGGTAAGAAGGACAGTAGAAAGGGTCAGTGAGGTGGCTCATTGATTTGGGCACGGGAGAACTGATGTTTGGGATACAGGAAGTAATGCAGGAAGTTAAGGAAGATGGCGGGCACTGTAGTTTAGGACAGTATCTTCATTTGTGACATGATCGCCTGCCTGTGAGGAGAGGGTAGTGAGTGGTTATGAGGAAAGGCTCTAGAACAGGCAAGTGTGTAGGGGCAACAGCCTAGGTGGGATTCAAGGCAAGGCCCTAAGGCAGGCAGAAATCAACCATTTTTTCCCAATTGCAGCAAGCTGTTCAACATGTACCAGTCCCATGGATAATCAGATGATCATGTACCAATTCCACAGATAATCAGATGATCATGTACCAATCCCGAGGATGATCAGATAATCTCAGGAACCTTTGAAGATCACAGAGCTGCCATTAAGCACAGTTGGTGATGACTGTGACCACAGGAAGTGTGTGATGGAGCTGGCAGCAGTGTCCTGACTGACAGAGCTAAAGTAAACAGAAGATGGGACCATCCCAGCTGGGAGGAAGCATTACCTGAGCGCACAATACATGCTATTTCATTTTATTGTTCACCTTTATTTTTGCTATTTAGTATTTTTATTTTTCAAAAATTTTAATTTTTACCTTTATTTCTGCTATTTTAATTTTTAATGTTAATTTTAATTTTTAAATGTAAATTTTTATTTTTCAAGTGGCTTACAAAGTAATAGGCTTCCATATGGAACTTTCATTTTTGAATATTTTTAATTGATTCTTTGACAATTTTGCACATGTGTACACTTAAATCCTCCCTTATACCCTAGGCTTACTTACTTACAATACTTAACTCCTCCCACCTTCTCTCCTTTTCTTCCTTCCTTCCTTTCTTTATTTTGATAAGTCATTGAGTCTAACACATACGCACAGGTGTGGGGCCATCCACCTTTACATAGGGGAGCCTATGTAAACAACCTTTAGGGCCATACTAAAGCAAGATGAATCCCTGTCAATTGCAGAGAGCCCCTCAGAGAGGGTTGAAGGTTCAGGAGCTTCCCATCAGTGCTGGAATGTTGCCTGGCTTGATCTTGTTCTGGCCTTGTGCAGGGTGACCACAGCTGCTGTGACAGTGACCTCAATGGCTGTGTCATCCAGAAAACACTGCTCAGCACTCGTCTCCACCTCCTGTGTGCCCTCCACCCTCTTCTGCAAGGTTCTATGAACTTCGGGTTTTGTGGGATGTTGGTATACTGTTCCATTTAAGGTTGAAGACTCAACAGTTAACTTAGTCTCAGGATTTTGACCAATTCCAAGTCTGCATGACTGCTGCTCGCTACAAGAAGCAGCTTCTCTGATAACGGCTGAAAGCAGCGCTAGTCTAAGGGCATAATGATTTGGAAGGCAGTCTGAAAACACATACGTTTAACAACA